AATATAATAAAAACCACTGAATGGTACACTTTAAAGGAGGGAATTTTATGGCATGTGAATTATATTTCATGCTGTTATTTTTTAAAAAGTTGAGAAACTTGTCAAGTTCACACAATTAGTAAATGGCAGCCCCAGATTCAAACCTAGGTCTGTTTGACTCCAGAACCTGTGTTTTCAACCATTATGTGGCTCTGATCACAGCTATCCCCAACGAACATTTTCTGAAGACACCAGCAAATTTAATTACAGGTAACAGAGGCTTTGGCTTAATTCCAATCACACAGATAAGGAAGACAATCCTCAGACCGCCTGGGACTTCCAAGGATCGATACACATTAAGGATTATTAATCTACTAATCCTTTTTAAACCTCCTGTAACTTGGAACAATGGTTATGCCAGAGGAAAAACAAAACAAAATTGAAAAGGAGTGTATACCTGAAAGGAATATGACTAAAGGTCCTCTGAGGCCACCCTTAGGACCTTTGGGCCAAATCAAATGTAAATCCGATGGTGTGACATCCATGCTTCCTGCCTTCCAATGGCTTCCCACCCAAATGCCTCACCATGGACATGTTCTGGCTACATGGTTCCTCTCTGGTCTTGTCTCCTCAGGGGCCCCCCACTGCACTCCAGTCACACCTGCCTCTGTCCTTCTTGAACATTCCCCGTTCTCCTCAACACTTGCTGTCTTACTGTCCCAGCTATGAGGAATCCTCAGCATTCCAGCTTCACGGGGTGGCTCATCTGTGACAATCAAGTCTCAGTTCATTGTCCCTTCTCAGACAGACCTTCTGGCATCTGTGACATCTAAATAACATTGGCCACCACCCCATCCCCACTGCAGTCCCTCTCCATTGCAGAGCCCAGTTGTAAGTCCTTCAATGCACTTGTCTTTATTTAGCAGTTCACCATCTGCCTTTTCCCTTGGATTGAAGACCTTGTCTATCCTACTCCCAGCAGCACCAGCCCCTACAGCAGTCACTGGCATACAGCAGATGTTCGCTCAATGTTTGCTGAACAAGTCAATGAAGCACACACCTCTGCCATGAGATGCCTCAGCAAGCCAAGGCCTCCCGTGTTCAGTCTAGGAGAGCACAGACTCAAAAAGGCTTCACTCTCAGGAACTCACATCAGGGTAATCTTCCCAAGCTGGTGATCCAGGCCTGGTGAGGTCATTACCATTTAGATTCTATGGCCACCACTTTGATTCATTTATTTTAACATCTTTATGCTTTCACTCCTTCACTGAGCCCATATATTTATCATATACCTTTTGCCTTTTCCCTCCTCTAGCAACTTAAAATTATTGTAAATAGTGTGGCAATGACCACCCTATAATGGGAATGAGATTCCTCTTTCTAAAGAAGCTCTTTTGATTCCTCTATGACCGATTTAAAAATTCTCTTGTCTCTTTAAGTTTATTCTAATGTGGATCAGACTTTTTAGTTAATACCAGGCATTGAAAGTTATTCAAACTAGAGACCCACCCTGGCCAACACATGTCATACGATTATGGAGTTCAATTCCCCTGTCTCTAGGTCATTATCGCACACCCATGTTGTCCTAGGATGGCTCAGAAATCTGCATGGGGAGATACCACATGATTCAGGGCCTCCCTCCCACTGCATTTACTTTTCCTTACAAAGACCTCCATTTTCTCCCAGTCCATCAGCCTCCTCCTGACCTTGTCTCCTTTCTTACCCAGACTACATCCTGACACTTAACTACCCAAGCTATTCACCAGTATTCAAAACGGCTTGCCACCACTGTTCTCCCTCTGTGCTACCACCAGAAAAACTGAACCCTTACCCATACTACAATCTTTCTCCTTCCCTCATACACTGCAGTGATTTTTTTAAAAAACACCATCAGGAAGAATGCAAGACTAACACATAAGGCATGATTTCTAATGAAGGTTGCTTATAAATTCTTTAACATGACCTTGATGAGCTTACTCACCCATTCCTCTAAGCAATTAATCTAAACTTCCATCCTTTTCCTCAAGCCCCCACCCACCCTCCTTCTCCATCCTAATCCCCACGGCAGAAAATGCCATCTCCAAGCAGAAGGAAATCTTCTGAGATGCATTTCCTGAACTCCATCCCTTCACCTGCAAACCAGCCTCTGCCTGCACACATGATAATACCTTCCTTTGCACAAGTTGGGAATGAACTGTCTCTCCTGGTTCACAACTAAATTTTGCCCACTGCCTCCTGTCTTCTCCCAGATCTTGCTGTATAATTACCTTCCCTCTCTTCTGTATCTTCACTTCTCACTCTTATCAGCTCCATCTCTCAGCCTATCATCTTGCTCTGTTATCCTTAAAAGGCCCTTCCTTGACCCCAATGTCTTCTAGCTACTACTCTAGCTCTCTCTCTTTCTCGAACCTTCCCAATGGGTACTTGCTGTCTCCACATCATCTCTCATTCATTCCCAGTTCACTATAACCTGGTTTCTGCCCCCAGAGCTTCACTGAAACTGCTGCCTTCAGACCAGCACTGATTACTTAGTGGGAAAAGCCAAAAGGAAATCCTTGCTCCCTTACCTCACTAGATCATTCTGCTGCATGTGATGCTGTAGATCCCACTCATTCTCTGTCCCTTCGTGGGCTCCTCTTCCTCTCCTCAGCATTAACTATCTTCCCAGTTTATGTTCTCCTTATTCTACCCATGCTACCCAATCTCTTTCACAGCCATGTCTGTCACTAACATTTACATGGAAACGACTCTCAACTCTACTCTCTCCAGCCCCCATGTCTTCCCTGAGCTTCAGACTGTTATATCCACCTGCCTCCTAGATGTGGCCTCATGTTTGTCCCAAAACCCCTAAAATCAATTATGTCTGTTCTGATTTCACTTCCTTTCCTCTTCACCATTTAACCTGTGTGTTCCCTGTGCTACCCATTTCAGCAGGATGCCACCTCCACCCAGCTATCCACTCAAGGCACCTATTAACTTTAACCCTTCCTTCTGCCTTGTCATCCATATCAAAGCAATCCTAATGATTTCTATCAGCTGAAGATTTATTGAAAGAATCCCCTTTCATGCCTCTCAACACTTCCCAAGAACCAAACTTCTGTTCATTTCCCTTACTTCATTTTTCACGGTCTAGGGAGATAACAGGCAAGCACTTGAGCATGACATACAAGATCTTCCATGACTTAAGCTGTCTCTGGACTCACCTCCTGACTCATCTCCCTTGCCTCAACCTTGTCATTTACCATAAAGTTCAACAAAAGACTCATTCTCCCTTAGCAGGTACAGTGCTACCTGGCCCTGCCTACCTAGCACACACTGTCCTCCAGAATGTAATTCTCTGTTCCCTATCCTCTCTCTCCTCTTTCTGTCTCCTTCTCTCCCTCCCTTTCTCTCTCTCTCCCTCTCTCTCCCCCACCCCCATCCATCCCCAACACTTCCCTTCCTCACTAACACTTGGCTTCCAAGATTTAGCTCAAGCATCACCTTTCCAAGATGCCTTTTCATACTCCTCCAGCCTGGAGAGCTGCCTCTATTTGCTGCTACCATAGCATTCCATGTTTATCTCTAGTACAACAGATTGCACTCATCAAAAATTACATATTAATCTGACAACCTCTCCCAACTAAACTACAAGCTCCTAAAGGCAAGGATTGCTCATAGCAGGTGCTCAATTTGGTTCCTTTGCACCTTAAATATTAGTGGTAAATAACTTTCTGATATGCTTCCAGATCTCTAAGTGCCTTGGACATCCAATATGACCCTTTCTCAGTCATCTGATTGGGAGGCTGTGCTATGGCCGTCAGCCTCAACCAACACATTAGCAATGTTGGTTGCTTACCACGCTACAGTCTGGAATGACAGTCTCCACTGCAGTAAGAGTTAAAGGAATAGAGGACTGAAACACTAAATTTAGCCATACCCAGCTTCTCAACATAGTCTAAGATTTGGCAAGACAAATCTCTTAAACAGGCACAGTGCTGACACAGCCTGGTGGAAAGGAACTCAACCAATGCTCAGCAAACTCAAAAAGGAAAACCTGCAGTACTTTCAACAAAGGAAGTTCTGAGATCTGCTGATTCATTCTGACTTAAAGCTGCAATAACACTTGAGTAAGGAGCACCCAAGCTGACACCGCATTTTTTTTCTGCAGAGTTCACAGAATTTGGCATACAAGAAATTTAATAGCTCTTCTTTAGAATCCTTTGCAATTTCTCAGATATTGATTGTGGTCACCTACATTATAGTGTCTGTCTGATAGCATTACATGGTATTTTTCTGGCAAAGATACAGTCCTGGTCAAAATACTGATGATAGTTTAAAATACTGATAGGAGCTTCTTAAATGAAAGAAAACTACACAGGAAATCCCTTTTACCAAAGAAAGCTCACTGTTAGCTCAATTAGTGGCTGAAGAGCCCTGCTTTTGTCAACGGTTCTTGCTCATGCTTTGTACAAAGACATCTGTACAATGGGTTCCAACTTAGAAAACAGCATTTAAATATCAGCATAAACTTAAAATGCTCAGAGGAAAATCAGGTAAGTTTTTATCAGGACCAGCATTTCTAAAAGACCTATATGAGCGCAAATTACAAAGCAAAGAACCTTCTCAAAATATTTATGTCATCATTTTCTTTGTTTATTCAGAATTGCAATACAATATGAGAATTGTATAATGCAAGGTAAAATGGAAGAAAATTTTATACTTGAGTCAGTAATTTATCATGCGTCCTATATATGGTAATGATTATAGTTAACATTTAATTAACTAGCATTACTTCAAATATTTATTTCATTTAAAATCATCATATCTAAGTACTGTATTTGAGATGCTTAACAAGTTAAATGTTAAATGCCTTTTCTTCCAGGGGAAGAAAAAATAATTAACTTCACACTTTTTTGTTTTTCTTGAAGTGTTACATGACATATTATCAGCGTCAACAACAAACATTATTTTAACTAACCTATTATCATGAAGTGAAGTTTTATTGCACTCACGTAACAGGATTATGACTAAATACTTACTTGTTCAGTGTGAGGTCAAGAATAAACCTGGAGCCAAAGGCTTGAATCTGGAAGCTTGCCTGGGCCAGATGGACAGCCTGCAGATCCAAAAAGACAGAAAAAGTCCTTAGCTTACTTTCCTGCCTTTAAAGCTGATTATAATGATATAGAGAACGATATTTCTCTATAAGAACTTTTTTATGGATTGATTGATTCCCTTATGTACAGACCCTTACGTAACAATTCATTTTTCTTTAAAAGGAGACTGGGTGCATTGTCATGGCTGTACTTGGGAGACCTGAATATCTGTGCAGCAAGAAACTAATAGAAAGACAGAGTCCTTTAAAATGAACACATCGTGATAAAAATCAAGAGTATACTCAGCTGGACTCACAAAGTGACCGTGATGAATTATGCAAGAGTGTGACTAATTAAAGCTTGATTTCAGCCTATTTTGCACACAAAGCTAACCAATTGTTTCTGCACACCTAAGTGAAAAATCATGTCAGCTCTCTGCTCCTCATCAGGAATTGGAACTTTCTCTAAATGATGTATCAGCAGAATGTGACAGTAAATGGAATAGCATAACCTTTTAGCTTCAGGAGCACTTAGAACCAGGCCCTTTGCGAAGACTGAGAGTTTCTGTAGCCTTTTAAAAGTCACAGGTTTACAAATATTGTCATGATTGTGCCTTCACTCAAAATACAAAGATAATCCCATCAAAACACAAATCATATGTGCTAGATATTAAAAATCCATATAGCTCACAGAATCATCTAGAACAATGTAAATTAACAAATCAATGACGTTTTGTCAAAGTATTACCCAAGACAAGACTCTCCTTTGTCACCATATGGGGGGTGAGGGAGGACAAGGGTACTTGCAACACTCACACCCTCTCCCCTCCCCTGCTCACAAATATCTTTCCTCCAGACTCCATTCCTAAAACACAGCAGGTGTCACAAATCGTCAGGCAAGTGCCACACGCCCACAGCAAGCTCCCACCTCCCCCACACACCATGCCCTGCTCCTCCTAGCCCTCCTCCATTGGGATTATTGAAACCCTACTCATCCTTCAAGGAAGCTCTCCTTCACCAGGAGAATGAACTCTTCATCCTCAAGGATTCAGGAAAACTATATTTGTTCTTCCTTCCATCAGCAGGAGTGCTTCCAATCCAACCCACATCACAAGTGTCTTGCAAACAGTTGTAGATTAATGACCCTTCCCCGAAATATATGAACTTTCAATTAAGTAAATATTTATTGTCAAGACTTCCGTCATGCAAAACCTATAAAATATTATAAACCATGACTTTTTGTCAAGCACAACTGGTGATGAGATAGTCACTCCATAATCATCAATAAATAAAATAAAAAGGGAATGAATGGATTTAAAAACTCTGGTACATTTACACAATGGAATACTATGCAAATGTCAAAAAGAAGGATATCTTACCCTTTGACATAGCATGGAGGGACCTAGAGAGTATTATGTTAAGTGAAATAAGCCAGTCAGAGACAGACAAGTATCACATAATCTGCCTTACATGTGGAACCTAATGAACAAAATAAACTGATAAACAAAATAGACCCAGAAACATAGAAGCATGGAACAGACTGACATATATCAGAGGGAAGGGGGGGAGAGGGTCCGGGAGAGATTAACCAAAGAACTTTTCTGCATATATGCATTACCCATGGACACAGACAATAGTGCAGTGAAGGCCTGGGGAGGGGCTTGAGAGGGGTAGAGGGGGTCAAGGGGGGGAAAAGGGGGAACACCTGTAATTCTTTCAACAATAAAGATAAATGTTTCTTTAAAAGGAAACCAACAAACACTGAATTTTAAACACAAAGCAATGAGAAAGCGCCTGAATCCCTAACACCGTGGTGATAGCAAGCCCAACTTCAAACAGCCATGTAGAACAGGGTCATCATACTGGACCTGAGTTTCCCGCATCAAGACAATAATGTAGAAAGGAATTTCGGTTTTGTCAAGTGTGGTCTCTATCATCTGCAGAAGAACCTCTCTCTAACACATATATCATATATAGTCTTTAATCTAAATTGATTCTGTGTCTTGAAACATTAATTTTTGCATGAAGATTTTTATTTGATGAATAATTTGTACAAGGGGAAATTTTTCAGCTCTGGGTCCCAAAAGCTTAAAAATAAAACAAAAAAACTTACTTCCTGAGAATAAGGTAAGTTCTTAGGCATATTTTCTCTTAAGAATACTAAATAGGAGAGAAGAGTTCATTAATAGCACCCTGTCTAAAAGTGCTAATAAACGTACCTCACGTACCTCGAGTGTCTTTATAAATACTAAGGAAAATCTGACAGTGACCCAGTAAAAGCCTCATTTTACAGCCACTAAGCAATGAGACAAGTACAAACCCCAACAAAACCCAGAAGTAGCCTAGTAGTAATTGCTTATCCCATTTTATAGAATTGTTGGGAGTTATACAATTTGACCGCTGCTAAATAAGTTTATACTGAGTTGGTGTGACAAGATTCAGTTTAGCAGAATTTAATGAAAGAGCTAGCAAATAATATTAATATTGGGATTTTCTTTAGTTTATTTTCAGTCACTCATTCCACACATACGTGTTAAGCCCCACTCTGTATAAAAAATGTTAGGACACAGCCTCCGTGCTCAAGGGAGTCAGGCTCCAGGGAAGCCGGGGGAGCTGCCAGCCTCCGTGTTGTATCTAAGGGGTCAGGGGGCGCAAGCCTTCAATGGAAGATGCGCGACTGGAACAAAATTTCAAAACATGAATGAGAATCCACCTGCCAGGAGAAGAAAAGACATTCAGAGCATGGGGAACACATTGACAAAAACTGAGTAAAAAATAAATATGGGGGAAAAACTTTTTTAATTTTTAAAAATAGTATGGCCTGTAGGAAAATGGCTTTTGGAGGAAACAAAAGACAATGAATCTAAAAAGGTGGGCTGGAGACTGCGGGCTGCGTGTGACATGCTCAGTGATGCGTCCGNTTTTAAAAATAGTATGGCCTGTAGGAAAATGGCTTTTGGAGGAAACAAAAAGACAATGAATCTAAAAAGGTGGGCTGGAGACTGCGGGCTGTGTGTGACATGCTCAGTGATGCGTCCGATCACATGTACATACATCTGGCCAAGAGAGCAAGCTTTCCTCTAAATGATCCCCCGCTTACTCAGCACCATGTCGGGCACACGCCATTACCTTCACCATCATCATCATCAATAACAACAACATTATGATTCAAACCTATTGACAGACTGGTCTCCACAACTAAAACAATTATGGCGTCATCGACAACCTTCCTGCTTTTCCATGGTGGAGAAAGTCTGATTTTATTACACTTATCACAAAAATGTTATAACATTTTAATTTAACACTAACAGGCAGCACATTTCCTATAAAGTGATTTAAGATTTCCTCCAGCATTCATCTTCTTTGCACATACATCAAATGAAATTAGAATATTCATCTAATATATCTGTATCCATTTTAAGCAATTTCGATACAGTGGTATATGTTATTTTTCCTACATTCTGTTCCCTGTCCGTTGCTATACATTCTACATTTGCATAGAGTATAGATTCTTCTCTGTACCAAAATAAATACCTGACAAATGCTACTTTTCCCTCTCATTCTGTGATGTCTGCTGTTTTAGACATAATCAAAATAGCTTTTAATTTCTGGAATCTCAGTTATTCCATATCAATGGATCGTTTTTTCTTTAACAAAATGACTGTCCATTTTAAATATGCTTTCAAATCAGGTAAAATGTGTCCTCCTCATTGTTGTTTTACAAATTACAGTTTTGGGTATTATTTGTTCTTACTTATTAACCCGCTTCTTCCAAATGATGGAAAAATTAGAAGCATGGCCAAGATGAGCAGAAAATTTTATAACATACAGCCAGCCATAGCACTTCGGGTTTATTAAATAGTGTGCAGGTGACTGGCTGATCAGCATCACTGCCACTCACTGACATACGAAGCCTACCCTGGGTACTGCTTTTCTTCTACAAAGGAACTATGCACCACGGTTCAGAAATGTGGGCAATAACACGAAGCCAGACAGACCACAGGAACACAGTGCTTCGGAGATGAGTTCACGGGAGGTCATGACACGTTACTTCCTCCTTCGAGATAGCGGTTAACCAGGCCGCTCTGACAAGGACAGTCACTGTGGCGGCGCTGCAGAAGAATGCAGGGTTTTATAGCCAGAGTCACTTCACGGTAAGAACAAGCACAGCCCTGGGCTCCGAATTACCACCCTGAAGACTGAGAACAGCTGTTGCCTGAGCACTTGGATATTTTTCTTTTGACTCAGAAGCTGGCACAGGGAAATTACAGGAGCTCTATAAACAAAAACAACTAAACTCAATTATATACACAAACCTCCTGCGCTGAAAACAATTCACACATCCTAACAATGTGCTTTTGTTGTTCTGCTTCCTCCTTTGAGTAGACGGCACCTAATGGTATCACAATAAATAAGTTTAGAAGACTGTTCGGTCCCTCAGCTTAGACTGATTTTGCATCTTATGGAGCAAAGGTATGATATGAAGCAATCACACATACATGCTCAGCTTCGTGTAAGGTACATTATTAAGTAAGCTGGACACAGTTACATTTTCTTGAGACTTATATTCTATAGTAGTTAACATTAATATGGAGATGAAAATGAGAAAAAAGATGACTATCTACTTATAAAAATAAAAAGCAGGCACTTGCAGGGTATATGTTTTCATGCAAAAATGTTTCACACATAATTAGTGTTCAATCAGTCTTCTTTACTGCTTGGCAGGGATATGTGAGTTCTATGAAACAGGCATATAACTGGAACTAAATATGGGAAATGAGAAGTTTACACTTTCCCAGATTTCACAAAACGTTATGAGATTGAATTTCATAATTCGGTAGAAAGTGAGCAACTTGAATTGAGGTATGTACAACCACAACATCCTCTGAGCAGGGGTTTTACTTTAGAATGGTCTATAATGTGCATGGTTTGTGCAACAGAGAAAAATTTGGAAGGAGTTTCCCTGCTCTTAAGATATATTCTGTTTATTTAAGGAGACACTCATTAGGTAACAAAGGAAA